CATGTGTATATATATATATATATATATATATATATATATATATATCAAAGTATCACCCTAACCGTCCCCTACGCTCCTCCCAAGACTTCCTGCTCTCGAGCTCCCCCGTCAACTCCTCCCATGCTCGCCTCCAGGACTTCCCTGGAGTCTCTCCCATTCTCTGGAACTCCTTACCCCAACCTGTTCGTCTTTCTCCCACTCTGACTGCTTTTTCGGCGATCGCTAACGACTCGCCTCTTCATGGAAGCCTATCCCACCTCAACCTAACCACTGAACCATCACTTCCTCAAACAATTCATCCCCACACAGCTACCTCCTCATGTATCACTGGCCCCTCCCCTTTCATAGACTGTAAGCCCTCACGGGCAGGGCCCTCCTTACCATCTTGTCTTGAATTGTATTGTAATCATGTCTTCCCTATATTGTAAAGCGCTGCGCAAACTGTTGGCACTATATAAATCCTGTATCATAATAATAATATATACTGTATATTGTGACGGTGCTGTGCCTTGTCACAGTGTGATAAGGGCTAGAGGGCAGCCAGGGTTCTCACCCATTCAGGTTGAGAGGCTTCAGGATGCATGTTGCAGAGGGAGAAAACTGGCTTTTCATGGTTTTCTCCAGCAATCGGTGTCCTGGAACCCAGAGGCTTTGGAGAAACTTGGGTGGCATGAAGCCTACAACCCTGGGACTGTGTTTTGAGGTATATCTGCACCTGTTGACTGTGCAGCTGTGCACATCCCTTAAGGTATGGGAGCTGGTGAGTGTTCAGGGCTCCATCTGGGAGACAGAGGAGGTCTCGGCCTGGGAAACAGGAGGGCTCCGTCCAGAACTTAGGGTGGAGGCCAGTGCAGCAGGGAGCTGCAAGGTTTATACCGAGCGGGCAGGTCAGCACAGTGTTTTAGACTGTCGGGAGGACACAGACAAGGGCCTTATGACTGAGGCCAGAGCAGAGGTGCCGCAAGAGCTGAATGTTTGTTTTTGTGAAGAAGAACAACCAATTATGAGGGTGACAACATTATTGTTTGAGGACCTTCTATTAACATATACTGTATATATTGATACACAGATGGTCTGTTACTGTTTAAAGATGCAGATTGTGCCTGTTTCAGGTGATCAGGTGTTGGGACTCATTGGAGGGTTGGTGTCTAGAAGTATTCTTCATCAAGTTAGTGCTACCTCCCCAGGAGACAGATTGCTGTATGAGCAGCGTGTGTGTAGACAGACACACACACAGCATTCTTGCAGTTCTGTCTGCAATGAAGCAGGCTGAGGGACTAAGCAGACCATATAGCCAGGAGGCTGAATATTATTTGTATCTGTGTAATGCTAAAAACATCCCCTACGAGGGTAACACCTTTTGTTAAGCTGTTTTGCAGGCAAATAAACGTGGACAAGAGCCCGAAAACTGACTTTTTGGGTGGACTCAGTCTGCCCAAACTCTGCAATTGGAGCTGGAGCTAAATCTCTCAACTGATGGAGCATGCGGGCAAAAGTGGGGCACCTTCTCCTTGGAGTCTGCTGATCCCCTCTGAGAAGTTATCTTTCTTCGTCTACTGTGCTAGAGGGCGGTAAAAAGATTCCCAGCAATTGAAGGAGTTAAAAGTGTAAGATAACCCTACAATCAACTTCTCTAATTTGCTCCCAATGGAGCAGTGTTGAGCTGGGTGGGAAGGAAAGGCAAGTATTCAGTCTCTTCTTTACAGGTATGCGCTGTATTATGTGACAGATTCTCTTTATTATGTATCTCAGCATGTATGGAGTGATTCAATGTTTACCATGAGTGCTATACTCCCCAGCAAGTCGTCAGGTTCCCAGACCACAGACAAATGGCAATAGCAGAAAGAGGACTATCACATCTACTGAGCATCTGGCTCTGCTATATGTCTCGAAGACTCATTTCAATTCTGATAGGAATGAACCTTTATAAACATATTACTAAGTATCTTTCACTATATGAAGTACTACATAAATGTATCACTTTTGAAAAGCCTAAAAGCATGTCGGAAAAGACGTTTCGCTGGTCATCCAGAAAGCTAACCGGATGACCAGTAAAACATCTTCAAGAAAGTCCAGTTGCCTTGATTTATTTTTTACACAGATATACCATGTGACCTGGAAGAATGAGAACCGTCACAGACACGTAGGAAAAGCCCCAGATTTACAAACCTTCCTTCCACAGTTACAGTAACTTGTAAGAAAGAAGAAAAATACTCACCGACGTGGTCCGCAATGTTGTCTAGTTGTGAGGGTGAGCTGGATACGCTACTGCTTTGATGGGACGATGCATGACTTCCAGGCCGCTGGGGGTCCTCTATGGAGGGAGCAGGGGAGGGGCTATCATGGATCCGTTCCTGTGGGGGGTGGGAAATACACCAGACGGTCAGCAAGACACAAAGTACAAAGTACAAATACAGAATTCACCACAGTAATGCGAGAACCTAACCAGGACACATTCAATTACTTACAATGTTTGTATTACAAAGAATACATGTAATAAATGTAATGATGAGTACAAAGCTGTGCGTCTTCTATATATGCCTGGAGTTCAGCTTTAAAGGTGAACTATGGGGTCAGGGCTTTTCCCCATAGTTCTGCCAGGGGCAACGGGAGGACACAAATTAGCGTCCTCCCGTCACCCAAAGCTCAGCATACCGTGAGCTGTACTGAGAACGCTGCAGCCAGGACGGATCCCGACATTACTGTCGAGATCCACCCAGCTGCGTGATTGACAGCTAGCTCTGACTATCCAGAGGCAGAGCCAGCTGTACCCGCCCCCTCCCCCGTCCGTTCCGCCAGTCAGCGCTGGAGGATCGGACAGGGGAGTGGGGGAATCCCTGCAGGGAGCTGTGAGTGACAGTCACAGCTTTCTGCAGGGACAGGATCGAGAAGTGAGCGAGCGTCGGTATGTGTTCCCTCACTTCCCGATCTATTGAGCCGACGTGTGACAGTCTCATTGTCACGGCTCCAACTATGAGGCTGAGTGATTTTCACTCACCTCATAGTTCTCCTTTAAAGTAAACCTGTCATTAGAAAATTAATGGGAATGCTTTTGCTTACATCCTTCTGAAGATAATGCTGACCCCTTTGGCTATAATACATTAAGTCAAACAATGCAAATAAAAGATAATGGTCATTATTTTCCTACTGGTTTAGGGTCAGGGATTCAGCAATAATGCAAAAGAGTCAATGATGTTGTCCCAAATATTACATTCAGGAAAAGTGTCCTAAAAAGACTTATTTGGTTTTGGATGGAGTGAAGATATACAGTATACCTTCACTTCCTTACATTCACTGCTGGGACACAAGTTGACAGAGGTTCCATTTTATTCTACACTATATGGACCACCCTTCAAATGATGGAGTTCAGGTGTCTCCAGTGAAGTTTCTGTTAACACACAACATACAAAGACATTGTAGACAATTGAGCCCTTCCAGCCTTGTGGTGGCAGTATGGTGAAGACCCTTTTCTGTTCCACCATGACTGTCCCCTGTGTACAAGGCCAGCTCCATAAAGACATGGTGTGACCAGTTTGGTGTGGAGGAAATTGAGTGCCCTGCACAGAGCCCTGACCTCAACCCTACTGAACACCTTTTTGATTATTTGGAACACCGATTTGTTGTTACAGATTACTGGCTGCTCTCTATTCTTATATTAAAGGAGAACTATGAGGGGGGGGGTGCTTTTCACTCACCTCATAGTTCTAGCCGACCTGTGACAATGAGACTGTCACAGGTCGGCTCAGTAGATCGGGAGGTGAGCGAACACATACCGGCGTTCGCTCACCTCTCGATCCTGTCACGGCTCTCTGCAGTGACAGGGGAGGGGCTGAATTCCCCCCTCCCCGCCCCGATCCGCCAGCGCTGACTGGCGGAACGGACGGGGGAGGGGGCGGGTACAGCTGGCTCTGCCTCTGGATAGGCGGAGCCAGCTGTCAGTCACGCAGCTGGGCGGATCCCGGCACAATTGTCGGGATCCGCTTCAGCTGCGGCGTATCAGTATATAGGGAGCAGCAGCTCCCTATATACTGAGCCTAGGGTGACGGGAGGACGCTAGTTTGTGTCCTCCCGTTACCCTAAGGAGAACTATGGGGAAAAGCCTTAACCCCATAGTTCTCCTTTAACACAAAGGTTACTAAGAACAGTGGCGCCTGGGGGGGTGTGATGGTCATATTTCCACAAAGGTTTGGCCGGCCAGAATCGAGTTGTCAGAGAGTTTTTCCATTCGTATACTCTGATTTACTACACCTTCCACGTCACGGTTGCTCTTTGTGCGGCTACCTCACAAAAACGTGTCATTGTTTGACTTGTTCCCCAAATAAAAAAAATCGACCACCGATCCCATCTCTCCGCGTTGCTTTGCATTGTCCCAGAGCCGAATAAAATTCCCTCCTATGAGCCCGGGAATGGAAAGACCAGTCTCATCCTTTGTCACATTCATCGTTCTGCGGTGGTATTAAATACCGTCCGCGGGTGCCGGGCCCCGCACTTGGAACACTGGATATCTGCCACGGCGAAATGCAATTTTCTCCGTCGCATTATCTGTAATGGTCGACCGAATGGACAGCTGGGGAGAGTTTGCCAACTGCTCCTTCACAAATACAGCA